ATCTAAGAGATAAATTATGATTCTAGAGAACAAAAGAAACAAAAAAAAATTCCTGCATCTCTCTATATTGGTTGATGGGAATTATATTGATAATTTGGGGTAGTTTTTCCATTTTCCTCCCAGTCATACTTCACATTATTCTAATTTTTTCCAAGGAGAGTGAGGAGGGAAAGAAGAACCTTGCAGCCTTTTGCTTAAAAATAGGGACCTGAATGTCACCACCAATTATCAGTTGTGGCCAACATCCTCCCCATTTCTTTCCTACAGGAGAAAAAAGTAATAGTTAGGAGAGTTCCTACAGTTGCTATTTGCAGACACTATGCAAGGGACTCTGAAAAAAGCTCATGGAGGAAAATATTTCTGAAAAATATTGGGTACATTCCAGGGCTACTGATTTCTTATGCAGTAAGATCAAATTGTTGATTTTTAAATTGTTAATATTACTCTGTAGTGCTTTAAAATATTTTGATTTTGCCATTATTTTATTGCATTGCAATATTAACAGCAGACTATTATGCTATTAAAGAAATAAGTATAGCAAGATTCCAAGCTTGACTTCTCATAAAGCTGAATTTGGGCTGAACCTGCTAAAGTTGCTGAAGGGGTCTCATGAGTGACAAATAATTTTCTACACCACAAAAAGAGCTACGCAATCAAATTTTGAAACCTGACTTCTTTGCCATTATGTTAAACAGAATGCATGAATAAATCTTGTTTTATTTGGAATAATATTCTGAAATAACATTGCTAACATGTAAAAACTTACCTTAGCAATTAAAGAACTGAACACTTTATGCAATTTTTCACAACCCTGCAATCTAGATATAATCTAGATATAATTCACAAGAGGTTTTTTTTCACCAGATCTATAGAATATAACATTAGGTGGACTGCCCTAACAGAAACATCTGCAATTGTACACGTTTTGAATTTAATTGCCAATGAAAGAGTGAATAGTTACAGATTTATAAATCAAAACATTTCTGAACACAATGATCACATACCTTATAGGCCAAATACCACTCAGACTCTTTGGTGGATTTATTTCCTGCCTTGTTCTTGTACACCTCAGCCCTGTACTGACGAATCAGAAGAAGATTTCGTGCAAAATATTCAAAATTCATCTTGCTGAGTGCAACACTCTCGAGTTTCTGAGTTCCTAAAAAATAAGAAAAAAAATGAAGGAATACCATTGACAAACTACAATTACAATTTTGGTTAAAATAAACATTATTAAAAGCTATTGTTTCTGATTGGGAAATACAGTAAAAACACAAATAATCTCTGCTAAACATACTTAAACTACAGGATGTCAGATTATAGCTCAGTTGGACAAGATGAGGCCATTTGGAGGAATGCTGTTCCAAAGGGCAGAAACTGGAACAGAAAAGGTCCATTTACTTAGTTTCACAGCTAGATGGTATTGCTTAATTCGTAGGACCCAGAACAACCCATCTTTTGAAATGCACTGGACAGTTTAACATTATAAGAGACATTATGGAAGATACTCAGTCTCTCAAATTAAATTAAGCCATGTATTGTTCTGTAATTTAACTATTCCTTTATTCTATGCATATAATGCTCATTAGCAACAATTCAGTGAATACAAGACTAATCAAGTTCACTGTTCTTATATTATTTTTAACATGTTTTGCAGGCATTTCTATACTTATTTTGCAGTTTTAGTATTATTTGAAGTCTTCCCAAAGCACTAAAGCTTTTATCTGAAGGAATGCCAAATATCCAGAAAGAACACATGCATTCTGCTTTACTTTCTTTGATAAAAGTTTGATATGCAAAAGTCAACAAAACTTTTTTCTGATATGGAGGTAAAGTAGACTTAGTT